GCTTACCATAGGCAGTCTTGACACCCTAGAACCACGTATCTGCCTTTCCATCGAGAAACAGCTCCACAGAATCCACCATCTCTGCCTCCAGAATGTGATGCATCTGAGAATACTTACGGCATTTGCGCAAGCGATTCTGTTGTTCGTCGCCAGAAAACACCGGTAAATCCAGTCGAGGATGCTGGTACCATCGATAATTCTGGTGTCCCCAAGGGTTATTATCACCCTGAGACCCTCCCAGAGTGATAAAATCTGGTGGAAGACCGTCACCAGACGAGTTGCCGATGCGTGTGTGGTTGTTCTGTTCCACTCGCACAGCGTTGACTGGGGAGCGTCCGTTTCCCTTCTCCATGGCCGCTTTGAACGTGGCTCGAGTGTTCTCAGCCCCGACTAGTGCAAACGGCGGCCGGTAAGGTGCAGGGGACGTCGGCGATGAAACTTCGGATATCGGCGCCTTCTCCAAGTTGCGTGGCATCATCAACTGAAATGACCTCATCATCTTATTGACTTTGGCGTCACGATCTGCCATGGATGCCATTAAGAGATCGAACTTCGACTCCAAGGACACCATACGCGATTCAAGGCCCTCGAGACGAGAAGGGTTGGCGTCGTTGTTTGATTCCTCCACTGATTCATCAACAGCAGCCCTAGCTCGTGTCATTCTTGTCATTAGAATTGGATTTGTTGAAAGGGAATAAGGGTTTGACGGAATTTTCGAATCAGAAATCAGAGTCAATTTTGAACAAGGAAAAGATTCAGAACAAAAAGTTTCAAGAACTGATTGCGAAGACAGAGAGTCTAACGAACACTGAATTCGAAGGGATTAAAAGAACCCTAATCGATTCGAAAGAAATCGTAGAAGGAGAAGAAATGGAGAAGTCAGAGTCGATTTGGAGCGGAAGACTTGAAATTTGGAACTGAAAACGCCGAGGAAAGTCTACCTCTGAGGCCATATGTAACGCACCGGAGGTTTAACGACTTAATCGGAGGGATTTGATCGGAATTTACAGAAGGACAGCGGCTGGATTAGGGTTTCTCACCAGAAGAGAGAAAAGGGGATCTGAAACTTTAACAAAACCAATTTGACGTATAACAATTCCATAATCATAATTTAGCCTCAACCAAGACTATATATAGTCTGGTAGTTGGCATATTTACATAGCAGCCCTTAGCCTATTAAATTAAAGTAATTGAGTCACTGGATTATGAGAATCATGACATATTAGTACATCCATCCCAGGTCTCGTTGATAGGGGCGGACTTATAAAGGGGCTCGGCTAGGCTCGAGCATCCCGGCCTAGCCAGAAAAATTTTCAGGCCAACTTTTGTCCGCCCAAATTTTGACGTTTCTCAATGTTGATTTGATTTAATTTGTTTTTGTTACCAATTCTACCCGGGCAATTCACCTTGCATCCAATTTAATTGGTTTTTGTTAGCAATTTGCTTGGCCCAGCCCACCTTGCCTCTTTCTGAACTAAACCATCCTCTTTTTATTTGGGATGTAAAAAAGCATATGTTTTTTTTCTTCTTTATATTTCTCTTATAATTAATTTGATATACTCCCTTCAGTCCTTAATATAAGGAAATTTGATTTGTCCTAGATTTTATATGGTATGCATTTTTAATCGGGAAAAAATTTTAAAAATATATTTTCTCATTCGTTGTGTTCTCTTGATTGTTAGAAAATATTTTTAAAGTTTTTTTTATCAATTAAAAAGGCATACTAGGTGAAACTTAGGACAAATTAAAATGCTTTATATTAAGAACAAGAGAGAGTATTTTATTATATTTATATCAGGTATGCATAAGTTTTGAAATTATTAATATATTAAATTGAGATTTAAAGTTACCAGTGTCACGCATTTTTTTTATCATTGACAAATTAAGATTCAGGTTTGAGGAGGATATTTTTTTTTGGTATTGGTGTCCACCGTCGATAACAGTGACTAATCCGCTTCGCTCATGGTACGCACCTCGATGGGTGAGAGAGTTGGCCAAAGGATTTAAGGTCTCATGGTACGCACCTTGATGGGTGAGAGAGTTGGCCAAAAGATTTAAGGTTTCTCCATGTCCATGCCAATGTTCGAACTCTCGATCTATGGTTAAGAATGGAGGAGTTTTTACCACTTCACCACAACCCCTTTGATTAGGTTTGAGTAAAATATTTGATTTTGTTTTAAATGATCTTACTATAAAAAAATTAGATCAATAATGAAAGTAACATTCCCAAATATCGAGTCTTCTCGATCGAAAATTCTTATGTTAAAATATGTAAAAATATGGATCTTTCAAGCTCCAAAAATGTTATCAAACTTAACATAATTTAGTGCCTAAAATTAGGTTTTAAATCGATTTTGCATCCAAGTGCAAATAACTACTTAACGATCTTTCTGTTCCATGTAATAGAGCACCTAAAATGCTCGATTTCCTATCCCGCCCCTGCTCGTTAGTGGTCTCATCTTCTGCATTATCTTTCAAAATTTATGTAATTTGATCCTTTGACATACAATGCTTGATAGAAGAAGTCATCAATGGAATTTTTCCTCCACATCAATTGGGATTGCTTGCCTTCTGCAGTTTCTAAACTCAACGACGAAGGACCTTCATTATTGACAGTCACGGATTGTTTTATATTTTTTCAATTTCTTCATATGTCTCGTTTAATGTACTACTCAAATATTTAATCACTCCCTAGCCTATCTTAATTTTAAATAATTTTTACATATTTAATAAATTAATTGTTTTTTTTATAATTTAATAACACTAGTCGACTTTGTAAATTAATAAATTAATTATTTTGAATATTTTAAAATTAATTGAATCTTCTAATACTTAACTTGTTCGTTAATTAACAATCGATTATTACCCACATAGTCCGACCGGTTATATCTCAAGAATGCTTTTCGTAATGCTTGTGTATCAACGTAATTAATAATATCTGTAACAAATACATTTAGACACCTCTTAACCACCAGTCATAACACATTAATGATAATTTTGAAGAATAATTTTGTTAAAAATAATTCAGATTTTTACTCTTTAGATTTTCAATTTTGTTGTATTTTCATGTTGGATTATATTTTAAGTTTGAAATTTAGTGTAAGATAATGGGTACGAGAGTTTAGTAAAGGTTTGATTTCAACATAAAAGAAGATATTTTAATCTTTAAAATTTACATTAACTTAGACATTTATTTCATTTTGAGTTCACTAAAACCTACAGTGGCTTTACTGTTTTTTCTTTTTTCTTTTTTTAATCTTACAAAGTCCACTCAAGTTGCAAATTAGTTTCTCAACTTACTAGTTCTTCTGTTTCGTTCTTCCTTGCTCATACACCTCCTTTTCCACCTCTTTACATTCACTCAATAATGCTGACTTTCAGTTATTTGAATTCTCAAATATGCTTAATGTATCTATCATCTTCTCTTGCTGCTTGAATTGTGAAGTAGATTGCAGACTTTTTATTTACTTCTTCCTCTATTGGTTGGCCTTGAAACTTTTACTTTACCCTTCTTCGTTGATGTTGAATTTAATTATTTGCACACACCATTTTGCCATTATCCGCTCCAATCAAATTGTTGAGTTATATCTTATATCCTAGGCATACCTTTTGAGGTTCTGCCATTTCTTCGTTTATTTGCTTACATTTGAACACTTGTCCCATGCTCTAATTTAACTTTGAAGACAAATCTTAATGGGGCATATTTGTTTGTAATTGTTTATTAATGGCTATTTGGGACACAACCTTTAACTAGCTAGGTCCATGTTAGTCAAGTTAGGGCATGAGCTCGCTACGAACATATTTTTACCTCGACAAACTATTCAATTCGAGAGCACAATGCAGAGAAGCCGACCGGTTCACTGCAGGTGTTGCAAGGAGTTTAAGAGTCTCGTCATTGTCTTAGAGGTGCGTGCAACTGGCTGAAAACCTTATATGTTTGTTGCAAATCCTTTTAGGATCAGTCAAAGCTCCCAAAGGGCATCCTGAAAATGATTCGATAGCTTATATCCTAGGATTTCTTTATAAAGCACGCACTCTTTGTCCATAGGGATATAAATCCTTATCGACACACTGGATCAAGCTGCAATCAATTCTTTTCCACCTCGGAAGAAGCTGTCGTTGTAGAGATTAATAAATGTTAGATCAACCATTGAAGGTCTAGATGAAATCCTAATTTGGTGCCAATTTCTTTAATATTATTATTTAATTTTGATATGACCGATTCTTTAGCTGTCATTTGCTTCTTTTGAATCATGCTCCTTCAAGCTCATTCATTGTGGGACACAGTCTAACTTGTCATTCGGTATATTGAGCTTCTGCATCTTAAAATGCATGACTCCATCTCTCTTATCCAACTTGTCCATTGGAATCCTTAATCTTATGTTCCTTTCCCTCTTAGATTTTTATAATCTTTTTCTCAATTATTAAGTTTTCTTCAGATTTCGGAAAAATCGCTTTTACAAAATGATTAATTTTGGCCATCTGAGGCTCCCGTAATTTGGAGGAGTGGTTTTCGGTGGCTTGTGAAAAATATATTCTAAATTTAAAAGTGGTTATTTGATTTTAGAATAATGATACATATAAGGAAAAAATTACAAGGCAAATGTGACAAGGAATTAGGCAAATTATATAGTGGACCATGGTGCAACAAGCTCTGTGCACCTAAAACCTAAGTGTTACACACGCACTGCAATTGTACGTGGTTGTGATTTTATATTTTTTTATTTATTTTACATAATACTTATCTAATCACCAACTAAACTTTCTCTTCCATTATCGATATACAACTTCAAAATTCAGTTTTAAAATTTGAATAAACCACCGTCTCCACCACCTCCTCCACGATTAACCGCCGCAATCTGAGAATTTTTCCTCAATCCGGCTTATAAATTCAAACACATGGAGAAGAACACAATTACCACAATATATTTAGCTATTTATAACTTTATTTCGACAGAGATTTTACATTGGAATCTTCCCTCTCTACCAAAATTTATTCCATGAAATCATCCTCTTCCACCCAAATTGCTCCGATGGAATCATCTCCTGTAACACACAATGATTATGATATGATCATTGGAACTATTCCACTGAAGTTTAATCAATTGGTTGATTCAAACTCTATTGTCGTTGATGATGCTGGAGTTTTTAATCACAAGAATGATGAAGGTTTCAATGACAATGATGACGATCCCAAGCTACTTTCTTCAGGTAATTCCAATAGTTGTCATGGAGATTCTTGTGTATTAGTACGGACATGATTTATATTATGTATGAACAATGATGCATTAATTGATGTTATTCTGTCAATTGAATATGTTGGTTGGAATTCACGTGGAATTTATATGAAACTGGTGTTTTGAATTCACTGTAAATCTATGAATCTTGTTTTAATTATGTTCAATAACACAAAAATTATTTATATAGGAGAAGACGAAGGCATGGATGATTGTTATGATTCTGTGAATGGAGTTAGGAAATTTTCGGCGGAAGAATGGAGCTTGGTTGATTCTTATAGTTTTATTGGTGGAATCGAGGATGAAAATACTAATCAATTACAAGATAACACAAAGGAGATCTCTACAGGTAATATTATTGCTTATTGATTCTTTGTTAATGAAAAAGATTTATCACCTTAAAGCTAATTTCATAAGAGCATTTATAAGAACATAAATACACTAGTGTTCGAACCTTATTGCATCAATGTATAAACAAATATTGCATTATTGTATGAACTTAAGTATGTATTTGTATAAATATATTTTAATCATTGTTGTATGATGCTAATGTATGTACTTTATTATTAGTGTATTTATTTTTTGTATAAATTTATAAATGTATAAACATATTAGTGTATGTACTTTTTCGTTAAACTGTATATCCATAAAATTTGATGTGATATTAATGCAAATTAGGTGATTTTCAAATGGTCGCCAAAAATGACGAAGATGTTCCGGTTGGATTAACTGCAACTTGTGAGCAAGATGCCTTTTTGATTTACAATGATTATGCAAAGACAGTTGGATTCAGTGTCAGAAAGGGAAAGCAATATTATAGAGAAACAACCGAAGGTGCTAAATCTATAAAGATGAAATTATACCTATGTTCGAAAGCTGGAGTGAAGAAAGACACAAACAGAAATAACAAGGTATACTCAAAAGTCAATGTTCGTACTGACTGCCAAGCACGGATACAGTTCAATGTAGATGAAGATGGTCTCTGGAAAGTTACTAAGCACGAGAAGATTCATAACCATAGTTTGTGCCCAAATACCCAACGCCACTTTCTGCGTTCACAAAGGGCAATGACAGAAACCATGGTTAAATATCTGCATGACATGAAGACAAGTGGAATTCCTTTGTCTACAGCAATCAGACATTTGAAAAACCAGTTGGGTGGTTCTGAAAATCTCGGCTTTACAACTAGGGATGCATACAACAATGTTTCAGCATACAAGGCTAAGGCATGGGAAGGTTGTGATGCAAATAATTTACTTCAAAAGTTTAGACGCAGGAAAGCAGAGGAAGAGGACTTTTACTTTGACTATCAACTTGATACTGAAGCCAGATTGTGTGCTTTTTTCTGGAGGGATCGCCAAATGAGAGCAGATTATGCTTTATTTGGAGACTTGATGATTTTTTATACAACTTATCGAACAAACAAGTACGATATGATTTGTGCTCCATTTGTTGGGATGAACCATCATGGTATGAACCTCATGTTTGGATGTGGTTTCATTTTAAATGAGAAGACAAGTCTTTTGATTGGTTGTTCAAGACTTTTTTGAAGTCCATGCAAGGAAAACAACCAGTTACTTTGATGACAGATCAAACTTCTGCAATTGCTGCTTCTATTCATGAAGTTTTCCCGGATTCTCGACACCGTTTATGTCTATGGCAGATCAGCGAGAATTCAAAGAAGAATATCAAGGGTTTGAGAAATAAGAAAGGGTTTGTCGATATTTTCAACTATATGTTGAAATATACCGAGACAGAAGATGAATTTCAATGGTATTGGGACAGGTATATTTTCAAATACTCATTTATTATTATGCTTTAAACATACGTATTTTTCATGCATATAAGAAAAAAATATTTAAAATCACTGTGTTTTTGAACTTGTTGATGCATCCGTACGAACAATGTGTTTATATAGTATGAAAGTATTACTGTTATTCTTTTATGAAATTTACCAGAATGACAATATATAACATGTTAACTTTTGATTTGTGACTGGCTATTAATTTTTACAATTTATTGGGAAAGCTTTTGCTAGGGGATGAACTTGTTGATATATCGGTATGAACATTGAACATATATTGTATGAATGTATAAAATATATTTGTATGAACTTTTACAGAATGTCCAACATATACAACTGTCACGATGAACCATGGTTGGTCAATTTGTATACTTTAAGGGAAAATGGTGTCCGGCTTTCAACAAAGACTACTTTTCTGGAGGCATTTTATCTTCTTAAAGAAGTGAGACGACGAACCATTCTGTATCCCGAAGGTTGTCTAAAACTTCTGGTCTGTCAGACTTTTATGAAATGTTTTTAGATGTCATTTGTGAATGGAAGGAGAAAGAAAATGGCGAGGATTTCCGTTGCAAGGAAGGTGTTGTTGATATTATGGTTGCACGTTCAAAATTGCTTTTGAAAGCAAGAGAAATCTACACTATTGAGGCATATCTTTTGTTTGAGGAGCAATTTCTCAAAGGTATTTCCCTTAAGCTTTCTATTCTACCTTCAGCCACGGATGAGATAATTTATGAAGTTTACCGTGATGATTCTGATATGTTCAAGCATAGAGTTTCTTATAATCCAGAGACGCACTCCATATCTTGTACATGTAAGAAGTACTATGAGGTTGGTATACTTTGTGCGCATTGGTTGCGGATTTTGAATGTCAACTGTGCTTATTGTATACCAGTTCAATGTATTAACAAAAGGTGGACAAAAGATTGTGATGAAAGACATTTCAGGAGTTATACGACAACTCAAAATACTTCTGAAGTCTTTGTAGGATCATCTTTTTGGATAGCTGATATGATTCAAAAATTCTCTAATTTACTTTTAGCTAGTTAGCAGAACAAGAGTGCACAAAAGGCTTGCGAAGAGGCACTGAAAATTGCTACAAATAATGTAATAGCTCAAGTTGGACCAATTTTCAACAATAATGCAGCTGATGGGGGGTCAAACAATGATGGAAATGTCAGGAACCCCACGAAGAGGGAAGGCACTCGGTGTAAGTAATATACGACATAAACGTATTGCCGAAAAAAGGGCTAATCAAGCAAAGGGAAGGAGAAATAATGCAGCCAAGACAGCTGCAAGAACACAAGCTGCAGTCAAACTTTATTGGAGTACTTTTCTGCATCTGGAGCTCAAGTTAATGCTAATGTCCCAAATTAGTGTTAGTTTTCTTTATGTTTTTCATTTTCACCATGGTTCTTTTATTATTTTCATTATGTTACGAATCATGTAAGGCACTAGAATAAACATGAATGAATTAGTCATTCTTATTTTTCATAATGTTTTTCTCACATAATAAAATGTATGCACCCTTTTCCCTTTAACATCATTACATTAATTGGAGTTTTTCTTTCTTGTAGTTAGTCTGGCCTTTTTTCCCGTAGCTTTACTTATTGCCTATTGTAACTACCTTTCACACACATTGTATGAACATTTTCGTATTCACAAAACTACTCATCAATTACTTTATTTACACCTTGATCAACCATCTATAATTGCGCTTCTCTCATTATTAAAGTTGTTTTTTCCCCTTCTGTCCTTTTTCTTTTAAATACTTTACGCATTTTTCGACATTTTAACATCATATTGTAAAGACCTTCATCCCAAGTATTCATATGAACCAATTATACATAATGTATTAACATATACATATTACATTTTGAACTTCACAACAAAATAACTACATTGCTTTAACAATGGGAACCAAAGATAGGATCAGCGGGGTCCCTTCTCTTTAAGTCATCATCATGGTTATTGCCACCGTTGACAATGGTAACCCTGATATCGACAACAATGTCAATCCCCAATCATTGACTACAAACGCGAACTATGTTGGGGATTTATCTGGAGGAGAAAATCCGACATGCAGCCCAATAAGTAAGATAAGACCCATCTGAACTCAAAAGCTCAAGCTAATGGGTTCTGAGACCACCTTACTTATTAACTGATTCACATGTCCTCATGCCTCCGATGTGGGATTCATAATCCTTGCCACATGACCCTCAACATTCTCCCCCGTCATGGGCAATCTCCACATCGGGCTTCCAAATTATCTTGACAAGCCCAAATTTGTACTCCACCTGAGTAACTGGGCCGCCCATCCCTACGCTTCCGCTCGTAGTGGGCCTTTGACTGCCTGGATTCAGTCAAATCAACCGAGATAATTTGGGCTAAATCACCCACCCACTTGGCCCAACCTGGGCTCTGATACTACTGTTGGGGATTTATCTGGAGGAGAAAACTCGATATGGAGCCCAAAGTAAGATAAGACCCATCTGAACTCAAAAGCTCAAGTTAATGGGTTCTGAGACCACCTTACTTATTAACTGATTCACATGTCCTCATGACTCCAATGTGGGATTCATAATCCTTGCCACATGACCCTTAACAAACTATGGCACCTACAATAAAATGTGATGATTAATTATTACTCATGTATCTCATTATTAGTATGAAACAATTAAAAGGCTAATATTTTCCTTTCCAATATTTAGTTGGGATTATTATTGTAGCATATCTTGCACTTTTGCAATCTGAGATATTATAAACATAATGTCATATTTAGTTGGGATTATGAGCTAAATATCATATCTACAATTCTTTTAAATAGTATGTACAAATACATTCGATGTCATAAACATAATGTCAAATGTGTATGTACATTTAGAATTAAATATTTCTATGTGAAATTATTGTTGGATCTAATTTGTCCTTGTCCAATCTGTGATGTTCAAATAAGAGTTACATTTCATATGTACATTGCTTTCACATCGTATGAACAACGACATAATATATTTCAAACATAAAATTAAATTTGTATGAACATTTTTCCAAAAAACACGTGTACGTACATAAATTTAAATCATATCCCTGTAAATGCTATATAAAGAGAAAACAAAATGATAAAACACAGTTTGTACAAATTGAATGAAATATATTAAACTATAAATTTCATTGAATTAACTAAAGGGGCATACATTGTCGATTATGAATAAACATTGCAGCACTAAACGAACCATTATTAAAGTTTAAACCAAAACTTAGAAGTAGATATAATCATCGACATTATAGAAAATATCCAATAAACAATTTCACAACTATAAACAACTTGGGGACTTCTGCCTGAGCTACGGTTCCAACCTCTCCTGCAAATCAAGCCTTACGATTTGGAGATGATGCTCTTGCAATTTTATACATTTCGTTAGCATCTTTCAATACTTCATCTCTACAATTCTTCAGTTCACTCATGAGAATTTCAGCCAAATACTTTATTCTATATGTCTGAAGTTGTTCCTTGGACTTCATAAGAACAAAATAATAATAATAAAAAAAAAATCAATGACAACACAATTTTCATAAAATCTACATAGAATAAGTGGAAGTGAAACATGATAATTGAACAAGAATGAAATCCTTACCCTTTTCAGATCCAGTCCCACTTCCCATTTGCCTTTGTCTCCATAATAAGTTTGCATATGGCGCATACAATAGATTGCACAATCATATCCATTACTAGAGTCTTGCCATGGCATTGAAAGAACTTCAACTGGCCACTTAGGAATATCTCTAGCTCCTGCAAATTTCCACTTATGAAGCATTCATCTACATCAAAAACAAAAAACCAACAATAAAGAATGCATGAACTTTATGAATAAGCATCAATAAACTCCCTGACCAAGTGAATGAACATCGTACTAAAAGTATCAACATTAAATTATTCTTACCAATTTTTTGGGTGTGTCATCGTACTTATCATCAAAAGTTACATCTCCACTCAGCGGCAGGTTATCAATAATTTCAACCTTTTTTGATTTCAGATGGAAACAAATGGAGTAATAGTGATTACTGCGGAATATTACAAAGAAAACATGTATTTGACATATTAATATAGTGTACTTGCATCACAATAACCAAAAAATATTCTTCAATGTTCATATTAAAATACGAACTTACTAGCTTTGTATTCTTCAGCTCCGATATTGATATAGATTGAATCGCAAATTCATCGTCCAATCTCTCAATAAAATCATTTAGTGGCTTGTCCTTTTCAAATCCATGCCTATCATTATCTAATAAAGCCTACATTGGATAAATAACACAACAGTTCAGTACATATACTTGTTAATTATAAAATAAATAAACAAAGAAGGTTTAGAGTATTACGAATGCCACATTAGAGAAGAATAATTGACTGATCTCACTTCTGCGTAATGGCCTTTGCCTATGCACGTTCAGCATAGCTGCCCAAGCGTCTATAATTTTACAATCTACATATGTATTAACGTTCATTGTCTTTAGTTCTTCTCGCGAACACATTACAAAATCATCTATATCAACCATTATCTTACTGCAAAAAGACAAGTTAAAAGAAAAATTAATTGTAAACTTGATATATTACTGTATGAACTTTAGTGCAAGATATCAATAACCTGTTATGTAATATATTTGAAACCTTTTTCATATTTAAATTTGTAAACAACAAATAATAAATATACTTTCATCAATGAATGTGTCTTATTATGGATAAAAAAATAGAAAACATTACCTGTCATCACGGTTATCCACAGCAGGCATGAACACATAGTCACTAAGTAACCTCTCTCTAACACTTACTCTCCTCATTTTATTAGGATTAGACCTCCAAAATAGCGACAACAAAATTCCAGGATCTTTTTCAAGCTGCCTTTTTGGGAAATTCTCAAAGTTCATCATTTCAGTTGTTTCCTCAGCTCTCTCAGCAAAGATTAAATTACATACATTACCTTGTAAATTACTCACTGTATGGTTCATACGTGAAGGAGTTGCATATACATTGGCATGATGATGCGTATGACTTGCATCTTCATTGTTCTCAGTGTCTACTTGTGAGATTCCGAGTGAAAAATTAGGCATGTCGGCATTCTGCGCATCAATGTCATCATAATCTTTGTTCAATTGAGTCAAACCTAGAGAAAAACTTGGCAACTCTTTGTCTTCACTAGGTAATGAACTCTTCTTTGCTTCTTCCACTTTTTGGTGATAAATTTCCATATCTTCTGGAACTCTAAATATTCCAACTGTTTCAAAACTTCAGGATTTTCAAACAGTTGAGTATAAGTAGGCGGTCTTTGCCTATGACTACTATATTTCATGCTGTCTATGAGTTCCCCAAAACATTCAAATGCTTTTTGAATTTTCTCAATAACAAACAAACTCATCCTATTTGGTTGGAGTTGGAGATCTCTTAGCTGAATAGCAACTTCCCCTAATGTTTTAAACACTAATCCATAACTAACTCCTGCAAATATGCATTACGATCATACAGTATTAGACAAAAAATAAAAATTCAATAACTTTTCATTAACATAAATTTATTACAGTATTTTGTACCTTCAATTATCACAATTTGATTTTTGTTGGGAGTCCTCATCTTCAACTTTCTGTTCCAGAGGAATATTTAGATGATCATGTACCCTAACATTTCCAAACTCATCACCGCTGATCTCCATATCTGATCTTATCTTGATTTTATCGGTATCCCAATTTTTAATCACTGGGAATACCCTTGGTTCAGAGTACATGTATTCTGTTCTATCCAAATAGCAAAGCTGTATAGAAAGTACAATTTAATGAGTACTATGCATTATTTTAGATATTTATAATAAAAAAATATCATACAAACAAATATATATACATACATATATGAACCATATCAAACTGATGTATGAACATTGTCGCACCTATGTATGAACGTAAAAAAACTAATTACTATGCACATTTAAGCATAAATAAGAATTGCAATGAAATAACATAACTGAAAAATAAGAAATTTACGCAAGAAAAATTACCACTAATAAGGTAAGTGGCTCAAAATAGAAAGATTCTGTCCTTTTAACTCTCCATTTGATTTGTGACTCCACTAAAGCTTTGATGGTATATTGACACCAATTATAGTCCTTGATCTTTTCAACATCCTTCAAAGATTTCAGAACCTTGAACTTGCATTTAGTATTCTTGTGACCATACAAGAAACTTGATACCACAAACACAATGAAATCCCTTTCAAAATTAACACCAGCATCATTGCGCTTAACCAAGTTATCTTCAATTACAGCATTGGTTGGTACCCCTCCCCATCTTCCTTTCCATTCCTGAACAAGTTCGTAATATTCATAATTATCACCACCTTTAGAAGTATCCAAAACTTTTCTCGGGTCGCGGGGAAGGTTTAGAACTGCTACAACATCTTCCTCATCGATCTTCATTGCTTCTTTTTTCAAATACAAAGTTCTTGTCCCGTGATCAAAATTTTCCACCAGATACTTACATAACTCACCTGGAATGTTTCTGATATTCAATTCCAACAATGATCCAAAACCAATATCCTTTACAGCTTGCCTTTATTCAGTATTCAATTTATCTACTAAGTGGTTCAACAATTGCGGTGATACCCTGCTACAAAATATAGGAACTGGTGGTTTTTTCCTCTTCTTCGATTTTGCAACTACAACATTATCTACATCATTTCCCTCAAAATCATCATCATCATCAACAGCTGCTTGTATTGATCTACCCCTCTTCTTTGAATCCTCATTTATTACTTTTTGTTTAGACACTGACCTAATAATATAGAAGGTAAAACATATAAACATTATTATTCCATTGTATGAACATTATACATTTAAACACTTACATAATTGTAATGAACTATACCTGCAAACAATCAGAAAAAAAAAAATTTGTGTGCACTATGGTTCTAAACTACTATCCGTACAAATTAAAAATATGAACTTTTAAAATTATGTACATAAACATTATATATATCTCGTATAAACATATGCCAAAAAACGGAAAAAATAAAATAAATTAATATGTCCGAAATCATTAATACAAGATGGTTCTAAACTACTATCCATATAAATTAAGTATATGAACTTTTTAAATTATGTATATGAACATTGTATATATCTCGTACAAACATATGCCCAAAAAAAAAACAACAATGAACTTTTGCAATAAAACAAAAGAAATAACATGTACTGAGATTCGGTTAATGGAATCAAACCTTTTCTTCACATTAAAAGGGGAAACCGGTGCCATAGAGTCAACAATTGTCACTGAAATAGAAACTATAAAATTGGTTAGATTTTAAAAACACTTTAATTTGAGTTTCATTGTTCCTAAACTTTCAGCAATAATGGGAGAGGAATATTTGAAAATATGTCTGAACAAAAGAATAGCGATTATTTTAATGAACTGCAAAAAAAAATAAAATAAATAAAGATTCAAAGAAGCATAAAAAAACTCCATAGACACAAAAGAAATAATTATTAATTCAAGATGGTTCTAAACCATAGAGCCAAACGTACATCCTCAAAAACTAAAAAATACTAAAAAAACCAACCTTCTTCGAATTATGGCGATCAGCGGTGGCGACCCACGGCAACAAGGGGTGATAGGATCGAACTCTTCAAATATATGCAAAGCCTATCTATTAACATAAAACATAATGCATATAAACATTGTATACAAATTGTATAAACCCATCAACAAAATTAACAAAATTGAACAAATTGTCTAAAATTACGTAGACAACCATGATGATTACATACAATTATGTCATTTTCATTGAATTTAAACACCGACACTAAAGCTGTTCACTTTCCCTAAACCATTTGTGTATGAAAATTATAGTGTTCCATGAATATAATGACTACTCATTTTTGTGAACATTTAATTAGGATTGTATGAACATTAGCTATTTTACAAATCATATAAACATTAAACATTTTGCGTATGAACATTTAATAATTATTCAAAACCCAAAATAAGATAATCTTCCAATTTCAAAAAAATTAACCTCATCATAGAATTCCTCAAGGAAATGTATTATATCAATTTTAATCATAAACTTATATACATAAAAAAATAGTTCACACAGGAAGAAAGAAGTATAATTACATCTTCAAATCATAATTGAAAGTCATCGCCGAATTTGATAAACCCAAAAGCCAAAATTGTGTATACAATAGGGTTCTAAAGTTCTTATTTTAGGTGTTTTAAAATGCTTAAAAAAACATGGTGCATGCAATTTACCAAACCACAAACCAAAAGAAAATACTGACAATGTAAAAAAAAAAAAAAAACCGACCTTGCTTCCTCGGCGATGACCTCCGGTGGTGAAGAGTGGCGATTGGGGTGGCGTTCGATGGCTACTTGTGGCACAAGCAGTAAAGGAGCGAACTAACGACGATGAGGCGAAATAAACGGAATACTAGCCGGAATTCCGAAGACGGATATATATTCGGCTACTGATTAAAATTACTATTGATAGGGGAAGAAAGAAGGGTTTTGAAATTAGATCGAGGATAATTAGGTGAGTTGGGATTTGAATTGGTGATAATATGATCTCCATTTGAATTATGGATGAGGATAGTTGTGGGAATACTGATTGAAGATGGGTTTTATCTAAATTTCAATACCCTTTTTGGTTAATCGGATTAAACTTTAGGTGAGGTCTTTTTGGGTTCCAAATCTTACCTAATTAATAGGCGCGTGAATTCACTCTATGGTGCATAGTACTACATGCACCGTGGTCCATAATATACTAATTGAAGGAATTATCACATTGATTCATTTTTAGCACGTTATGTTTGGGTTCATTCTTGGTTAGAACATAGTTTAGATGATTGACACATAATTTCTTGTATGTTTTTTATTTATTTATTTTTTCATTGTATATATCACAACTCTTGATTTTGTTAAAGTTTGAAAGAAATTCGTGGAGGGTTTCTTAGGAGTAAAAACGTCTTTTTGGCGCATTTTGAGTTGACTTCATATACATACATGAAGGGGCTATTTTAGATAATCAATGAAACTTTGGGGTGTTTTGATATTAATCCTTTTTTTTATAAATAAAATGACATCCTTACCCCCTTAAGTGACAAAATTTTAGAGTGGCAGTCAAATTCATTTCAGTGAAAATCCAGTCCCGTCCCAGACTCCCAGGTCGGGAAGCTGAGCCTGAGCGTAGGAGAAGACGTGATGGCAAAAACAACCCAAAATAACGTCGACGAGGACGAGCTCCGCCGCATGAAACTAGAAGTAGCCTTAGAAGTGAAATCTCTCCGGCGCATCATCAGCGCTTATCTCAAGTATGCACCCTCGCAAGAAATTGAAATAGTTTACTCCTCTTTCAATTATATCGATTTGTTATAATTAATTTCCTTTTTTGACTATCTGCAATTTGCTTTGATTTGCAGTTATCCAGAGGCAGCTGAAGAAGATGTTAGAAGAAACGAAAGGTCTTTCCAAAAGCTTCCCCAGGCCCATAAGGTTTTATATTTGGTCTTAACTTTTTTCTTCTAAAATTTCGCGCATTTGTGTAATTTAATGATTTCTCATAGTTTCATGCTAAAATGGTGTTTACGTTTTCAATTATTCAGTTTATATTCTACTAGCTTGATTGGATCAGCAATATTTTGTTAAGTTAAAAGAATGAAATAATATGGAAGCTGAGTCATATTGTGAACCTTGTAATATCAAAGACAGAACTTGAATACTTTTACCAAACTCCATGTAGTTATGTGGTCGGTTCAGGGGGAAACTAGCAATTTTTCATTCAGAAAAATAAGATGGTGGAAAAAAAAAAAAAAAACAAGAGTGAGAATCAGAATCACCTATAAGTTCTAGGGTGTACATATGATTCTTGGATAGTGAACTAATTAAAATCCACTAAATTTTGTAGAATCAACTTACTTTCAAATATCGTGTGTAAACTGTAGAAAACCAAGAATTTTTTGACAGTTTACAACAGTACTGAGATTGAGAAATCTCCTCAGAAACTCCCTTGCTTGGGAAATCCTGAATGTTATAGAGTCATGACTTTCAGAATCCACTCAAACTTTGCCACCCTGGCTCTTGTTAATTCTGGTTCCACCCATCTGAATTTTTGTTTCTTGGAGATCAACAAGACAGTTTTTCCTTTGTAGCTATGATGTCACCTTGGCGTACTTGCATTCTTGTGACGTACATGTTTCAGTCATAAACCGCAGCACTTTCATTTTATGTTCTAGCTGGTCGTTACTCCTGTAATATTTTAGCAAAGTTGATCGAATATGGATACTACTTTAATCGAAAGTGGCAAATCTAGTTTCAAGATTAACAAACACTCAAATTTGAAGTGTTCTAGAAAGCTACTGCAAATTGAAGTGGATTGAGTAATTTTAATGTTTAGCTGGCAATAATATGTAAAGATCCAAATCATGGATATAAGCATGACACACAAATGTATATAAGCACAAGTTTCATGCCTGGTTTGCTTTTGATTCGTAGAGAAACAAATTATCTAATGGTTAGTTTATATACTACTTTGAATTAGGCTCCCAGAAGATATGAGCCTAGCACCTTTTACATAGTAGTAAGACTGACCTTGTATTCTTCTTGTTCATGACTTATCGTGCCTCATCATTACTACCCCTTTCTTCAAGACCGATTTATTCATTATACTGCCAAAAGCATCATGAGAAGACATGATTGATTTTGTAGGGATGCCCATTGTACTATTGAACCCTGCATCTATTTATATTGCTAATTGCAATCTTGAGAAGTATTAAAGTTACTGGAATATCTCCTGTTTCTCTTCAGGAAACTTTTGCATACTAGCTCATACTCACACTTTTGATATGTGGGTTGTTGCATGATTTTGCAGGAACTCTTATCCCACCTTCCATCTAAATTTCAGAAGCTGAGATGGTATGTTTTTTCATGGTGACCATGTTTCTTAATTTATCTCTAGGAGTGATAAAATTGATCAGACCTTTTTTAACCAATAGGTGTTCCTCGTCTTTGTTATAAACTTAAAGAGTTTTCTTGTTGAGATGTACTTTAGATTAAGAAGTGAGGAAACTGGTTTTGGTTAGTCATCCATTTAATTATATGGATTGTGGGAAACCATTTGTATTGTTGTTTATTCTCATAAAAGTATTTTATGTTAGTCGATAGGCAATGTGTAGCTCCGTATGGGTTTAAACATTTTGTTCCCTTTCCCAATTTTCCACTGTATTATAACTTTTTGTTCCTTTTCCCAATTGTTTGAAGTTTTGCTGAACCAAAGTTCAAAAATAAGACTTTCTACTCTAGTCTTGTGATTTATTGTAATGATTACTGCAAGTTGGCGTTACAGTGCAAATATTCCCCCTCTTTCACACGCAAATTAATAGTGAATTTTTTATGTATCTCCCTAATTCAGTGTGCATATTGTGGGTACGAATATAATATGTTCAATGCAAGAACCTGCACTTCCTTTCACGTACACCTGGAACTTCTGTTGATTACCCATATGCTACAAGATCATCTTACAATTATGGTGCTAATCTTGAAATGCTTCAACTTTTTTTACACTACTCTTGCTATCTGATTCTTGTAATATGTGTGTTATGCTGCAGGTGCATTTTGAAAAATTCATTTTTTATTTTTGAAATGCTTAAGGTAATTATCAGATTATCTGTTTCTTTTGTTTCTTTCATTTTCTTTCTCCAAATTTGCTGATTTCTTTTGTAACAATTTTCTTATGCTTCTGAGTAGTACTGAAATGTGTTTTGCAAAACTGCTCGCGAGGTCTTAGAAACTCTACTTTTGTTGCTGAACAGGCATTTGAACCCCCACTTGATATGAGTCAGGACATCGATCTGTGTGAAAAAGAATGTCAGAGGAATGTTCAAAATAATTCCGTCTTCACTGGGGAGACAACTCTTGGCTCTTGCAGGCTTCTGTCTGCAGATGGAAGGGGTGTTTCCCACTGTATAGCTGATGCAGTCAATCCCGTGAATGTGATTCACAATGCTCCCAAAGTAATCACAGGAGTTAGCTCTTCCTCAATATATTTATTTTGATTGTTCAGCCTTAGGTTTGTAATGTTTCTGTCAGTTTCATTATGAGTTTTTACCTCTGTAAATAACAACAGGAGATGAGTCTCCATCAGTATGATGTATTAAATGTTGGGAGCTGTTCTGTGGGTGAGCGCAAGGAAAATGAATTTTGTCCAACTGATGGGTCGGCGTTTTCTTCTACTTGTTGCAATGGAAATGTAAGATCTTTTATCTTGTAACTGCAGTAGTAAAGAACTGAATCCAAAAAAAAAAAAAAGTGTGTATGTGTGTGATGAGTTGATTATGCCTTTTATTTCTATTCGTTATTGTAGCTCTATACCTGTTGTCAAATTCGCGCAAAAATAACTTATATGATTTCGTCATTTTGATGCCTGCATTGTTTTCTTACAAACTTTGCTTTCATCTAATTTTTGCTATTCATTTTCTTATATGAAGCTAATGGTGATTTCAGTTGCAACATTAAATCACATGTTCTATATAATAACTGAATTTTGTGTATCATTCGTTTTTCTTCAGATGGTTAGGTCTTAATCATTTGCTTCTGATTTCTGTTTTGGGGCCCTTTCCTTTTCGATTTTGTTGGTTTTAATGTATGACAGTATTTGTTTTCCATGGTCTCAACCTTCTTCGAGAAATATCTCAATGATAATTTTGCCATTTATTCTTCCATTGCAGGTTATATCTTCTACCCCTGATTGGCTGGATCCATCATTGCAGTTGCATGTTCCTTTAGTTGATGTAGATAAGGTATTGTGTATGAGTTCCTCACAGTACTTAGTTACTATTCAAAAAAGGAGGAAAAAAATCACTTTTGCTTCTGACTTTGTTTTTCTTGCATTTTGTAATTTGCATTATATGTCGAGTTTTATAGTTTCAATGTAGGTTTGGTGTCACAAAAATGGTTTTGACGCACTTAGGTTGTTGTTGGTTTCCCAGAAGAAATTTTAACTCTTCTTCTATAACCTTTTAATGTGTAATATGTCTTCTTATGTGTAATTTTCTTCTGCTTTGGCTGCGTCCAATCCACCAAAAATGTTGTTTACTCACTCTTGGGTCAAACTTAAATAACTCTGTTCCATTGATGGGGGGCTGAGGGAATAGTATTCTACCCTCCATTGTTCAATGCCTTTCAAAAAGGTGATGATTTTGATTCTTTTAAACCCAGAGCCCATTTGAAGACATCTCCATTCTTCGCAACTCTTAAATGTTACACATTATGCTCTCAAACCCACTTTGATTGTTGAGCATTTCCGCTGCACTTTTCATGGTCATCTTTGCTCTTCATAAAATAAATAACTTGATGGGATAACAAAAAATGATGAACATTCTACCACAATTGGAAGGTTTTTTTATTTTAACATGAGCAACTACGACCTTCACGTAGCCTTACACGCCCTGAGCAATGGAAGGGACTGGAGAGTGGGCGGTTTTAATGTCTGGCTGAGTGAGGTTGCATTTGATGGTGAGGATTACATCTTGTTGCATCGCGGAACAAGGGAATGATACAGTTTCAATGAACTTTGCAGGTGCTGGGAAAAGCTGGAGCTAGGCAGTAGCTGTAATTGTAATTTGGAATGTGAAACTAGCATGGAGATTTAGGATTGTTGATAAGGTCATGTTGACAGTTATGGGTTAGAACTTTTTAAGTTGTCTACAATAGAAGAAGCTGTCATATGAATTAAGTAGGTCTTATCAAAACAGTTTCTGAGAACTTTATCTGCTAAAGAATGAAGGATATCATGGTTCATTGAAACATGAAATCAGCATTTATATAGTTGAATGTATGTTCTTTAAATGGTTGACCTACATATGAATTCAATTTAACCAGAGTTTAGGGGTTGGTTTCACCTCAATTGGTAGTCTTCATGAATAATGACTTCAATGGGGCTGATCATATATTTGTAACCTACGAATCATTATAGATGTCTTGTCTATATTCTACGCTGCAAGTGAGCAGAAATTTTCTTGCAGACGAGTTTTGCCTTCGGTTAAATATAATTAGAATGTAGTATAACTTTGAGCAATATATTCACAGAGAAAATGAAAGGAAGCAATAAATGCAATGGGATTGTTTGGGTGTATATCCATTGAGTTTGTACTTGGTGGCCATGTATACTTTTACCCAAATGAATTATTTGTATTCTGGGCTGTACATGCCAGTTACAAGATTCTACTAGTCTATTCGATTGACTCTTCAGTTTTCTCAAAAGAATTATTAGTCTGGGCTGGACAAACCAGTTACAAAATTCTACTAGTCTATTCAATTGACTCTTCACTCTTCATAAAAGCATGCTTTGATATGTATATGATTCTCAACCAATTTTTTTTCTGTAACGCGTCATGTGTTCTATTCATAAGGTACACAATGTTTTAACTCCTGAATTGTTAGATTCAGGTTTACATTTTAGTGGCCATTTTGCTGTTGATGAAGATCAGTTTTCCATTTGTATTTTTTTGGTTTTCCATGTTATAGGTCTCTTAATGGTCACTATGTGAATCAATGTCTTAGTATCTTAAATGCGTTTAATTTTTCCAAACAGTAAAGTTCTGTGCTCACATTTTGCTAGTCAGCTTCTTTTTGAGTTTGATGTCAAATAAAGCTTGCTTGTAACTCCTCTGATAAAATTTATGTTGCTCTATAAAGTTTGATTCTGTTTGAGTTCCTTCTCTTTTTTATTATTTTTAATATTGATTTTCAGGTTAGGTGTATCATTAGAAACATTGTACGAGATTGGGCGGCTGAGGTATTCGTCAGACATCACTCTAAATTTTCTATGTGGTAGAGGAATGTCAACTTAGTGCTCAATATTCACTGTTGATCTTAACTATTTTGCCTACTGGAGGACTATTGTCTTATTTTATTCCTCGGACTGTGCAGGGAGAGAAGGAGCGGGATCAGTGCTATAAGCCCATTCTGGAAGCACTTCATAACTTATTTCCCCATCGGAACGAGGAGAGGTGCATCCAAATAATATGCATTTTAAATTTTCATTGCTTGCTAGTTTGACACATGTTTTAAACTACCTTGTTAGAAAAATGATATGTGATCGGTGTGCACATTATTTATTCTTTCAGTTGAATTGTAACTCCTGTTTTTCCTTCCTTACTTTTTTCTTTGGAGGAATTACTGACAGAAAAAAAATCTTTTTTTTTTTCTTTTTGTGTTTTGTTCCTGGCAGTCCACCATGTTGTTTAGTTCCTGGTGCTGGACTTGGGAGACTAGCTCTAGAAATTTCTCGTATCGGTTTGTTTCCTTCCTTAGAAATTTCTTTGCATGGATTTTGAATTGGTTGCTTTACATGTCTGGTGTCTTCTTGTTCTGCAGGGTTTATATGCCAAGGAAATGAGTTCTCATACTACATGATGATCTGCTCAAGTTTTATTCTTAACCAGTAAGGCAACATTTAAATTTTTGCAGTAAGTAGCACTTTAGGTTTTGGAGAAATATATGGGATTTCAACATTGATGGTGGGTTTTGATGCTGACTAGTACCCAGACTTCTGAGGAGTGGACAATCTATCCTTGGATACATAGTAATTCCAATTCCCTGTCTGACAGTGACCAGTTTCGTCCTATTTCAATTCCAGACGTACACCCAGCTAGGTATTACTTGGTTGGTGACTTTTAGACTCATAAGCTATGTTTGGTTGGATATCTTTCTCAGAGCTTTTATCAACAGAAACATCTCGTCTGAACAATCTTAAATCCAATATTTAAAATGTGAAAACCTTCATAATTCTCCTCTCATTATTTGCGAATTAATTTCCCCTGACACATACGTTTCCTTTTGTTTCCAAAATCTTTTTCCATTCCTATAGAAAGTTCCCAAAACAGAAAGCTTTTAAGCACAACATTACTTTGGGTTTTATGGTTTAGCCATCCATGTGAGTAAATGATGCTATATTTGCTGTTTCCTAACCATTAAATCTGATCTAATTTTATATTTAACTTTATAATAGTAAAAGAGTTGTTGCATCGCTACCATTGATTATGATACACCCTCATAACTTTCTGTACAACTTCATGTTACTCACTGAATACTTTGTATGCAAAAACTAGTATGGCATTTCCATTTCTTCATCTGAAATTGTGGGGAAAGAGAATACATTATTCTAGATGTGTATGGACAGTGTATGTGTTTTTGCTGTGGTTTCGATTTATAATAGAAGTTGGGAAATTTAAATGATTTAAAAGGTCGTACTCGGAATGATTTAAAATGATTTATTGGGTTCCATCCCAGAAAAAGAGTCTTGTTTATTAAACTAAAACAGTACTACGACCAACACTATTGACAAGTGGGTGGAGCAGTCTGTATTGCCATAGATTTATATGTCAGAACTAGTTCTGTGGGTTGAATATAAGAAACTGAACTTACTGGTACAATGTAATTCATCAGTGGAATTGATATTTGTGAAATGGGGAGAGGAGATACTGTGGACCCTAAAGGTCTATGGCTTAATAGGAAAGTGGAGACTTAATAATCTTTCAGTAGGTCAAGATTGGCTTATTGGTCTTTATGCTGGCAGATAAAAGAATGTCATTTCATATGCTTTTCCTTTCCATTTTTCGTGTTTTGTTTTCTTTCAAAATATATTTACGCTTCACCATGTGGTTCTAGGAAAGGATCCGTTTATTAATCTGTTATCTTCATTATTATTTTTGCATCATTTTGATGCTTCTGCTTCTTTTTCTGTCCAATGAGTCCACTTAGTAAAATAATTCTTTCAACTCTTCAAATACAGTGCAGGGACTACTGAAGGTTTTTCAATGTGTGGCGGTGATTTTGTTGAAGTATATAGTGATCCAAGCCAAATAGGTAGGGTGAATTGCACAGAACTTTATTTGGATATGTCTATTTTCTCTACAGTTTGAGGTAGACTTATTAGTTTCTTATTGTTAAAGTTGTGTATCTAAAAGCTTGCTGTAGTTTTGTTCAACCATAATTGCTGGGGCAGTGCTCCAAGAAATCGCACTATTTGCTTTTATTTAATTAGTTCCTATTTTGTCGCTTAAATTTGTCATAAGCTGTAGAATTGCTCGCAAGATGCAAAAAAAAAGGAAGTTTTGTAGCTGTTTTCCTTCCATTGTGAATACCATCTAGCAACTTTTGGCAAATGATTGAATTGTTGAAATCTTATTTCTCACAATTTTGTTGTCGCTGCTCTCTGCATGGCTACCTTCTGGCGGTGCAACTTGAAAGTGTTTCAACAGTGACCAGATTGAGAGCATTGAAGATTAATATTCAATCTATTGAACTGAACGGATTAGATTATCCTTCTCTCCAACTGTTGAGGAATTGCTTTCTTGAATAAGCCTAGCTGTCGTATATCGGGTATCGACAAGCTCGACAATAAAACTTGTTCTAAAGTTTTTTTTTGATGAGTCTACAAAAAGCAGCTGAAATATTATGATAAGTTGTTCCTCTATTTGATTGTTACGGAGGCAAGGTACTAGAGATCTTTTTAGCAGCTAAGACTACTTTGACAGTTCAAATGGAAGTTTATAGTGCATTCAAGAGTTTGAGGTGTATTGCCCTATCAAAACCCTCCTAGGTATAAGAGCATAATGTTCTTAGTACTTCTGTTCGGATAATTAAATTGCTTGGTTTTAGTGCAGGTTAGGTCCTCAACTCACTGAGGATAGTTTCCTCTTTTCAAAGCTTGTAACATTATAATTTGCATTTCCATGATCTGTGATAATCAACATTCCAAGCGGGTAGTGCTTTAATGGCTTAGTGCTTCATTAACCTATATACTTCTTCCAGTGGTGCTAGTCTTGGACTTGCTTTTGGTCATTTAAGTGTACCTGAATGAGGGATTTCTTTCTCCTGTGCAGGTGCTTGGGATTCCGTGGTGACTTGCTTTTTCCTTGATACAGCGCATAATATTGTAGAATATATTGAAATTATATCAAGAATTCTCAAGGAAGGGGCGGTAAGAAGATAAAGGAAGAGTGTACACAGGCTCACTTTTATGGCATGTACGTCTTATGTTTTATGTGCTGAAGGAATTACTTGTCTCCATGTTTATAGGTCTGGATAAATTTGGGTCCCTTACTCTATCACTTTGCAGACACCTATGGGCAGGATGATGTAAGCCTATTTATTGGAAAAGGATTATCTGAATTTCTATTTATTTATTTTTGGATAAATATCATGGTTTTATGGTTCTTAGAACTTCAAAATTTTCAACTCGCAGGAGATGTCAATTGAGCTCAGTTTAGAAGATGTGAAAAGAGTTGCTCTTCATTATGGATTTAAGTTTGAGGTAATTGCGACGATGAGAATGTATTATTCTCAGTTTTACCTGTTACGAAACTGACTGAAAGCTGTTGGAATTTTTGTTATTTATTTGAAGCAATGCTCAACCATTGAGACAACCTACACAACAAATCCTCGATCTATGATGCAAGTAAGCCTTTTTTACCTATTGTTTCTTTTGTGCTCCTTAGTTCCGAAGTTTTTGAGCATGTTGTCACATATTTAGTTTATACAAGATGGTGCTTATTGACCTCTCATGGCGGGTGGTGGTTTGCTAATATGTGTGTTTATTCCTATTAAAGTAAATTGTTGATTCCCTCTTTACTATTTATAATAGTCAAATACAAGAAATGGTACTAATAGAACAGAATTGAGATTATAAACAATCCGTTTTGAGTGATGCTGGTAGAGAAGGAATTGGAGTTGGGCATATATTCAGAAACACTGAGGACTTCGACCAAGAGGTTTTTAACTGGAGTTTTCTCACATCTAAGTGGGTCTGCTGGGTGAATTTTTTTTGGAAAAAAAGAAATCACTCAGTTTAGACATAAGAGTAGCGATGGGTGATATCAACAAGACTATTTATTGTGTAGACTTATTTAGTTGCAATGTTTTTTGGCTCATTTGTTTTCTGGTAACAAGATATTCTTCGTGGTCATTTTTTCTGATAAAATATTCTTAAATGTCAAACTACTAATGTTATTAGGACTCAACATTTAGCTATTATAAGTAGATGGGCTTGAAGTGTTGAAAATTTGATTATTATTGTTGTAGTTGATGGTTTGTTGGTCTAGTCTCCTCGTATACAAGAACAGTTATCTCAGTATATAGTCTTGTTGCGGTTAAAACTGCCATATAACAACTATTAAGCCTTTATTTTCACTATGTGAAGCCTATTGATCAAATATCACCTTTTGTGCTCTGTCAGAACTGAGAACACGTATTTTTATTATCTAAGTTAATCCTATCTTTTCGTATTGTTATTAATCTTTTTAGGTCTTTACCTTCTCCTTTTTAATTCAGTCCAGGGTTTCTGATAATCTCACTGGGGCATCTAAAAGACTCTAAATATGCCGAAACTGCTTTAAAGTGTGTGTCATTGTTTCATCTACCCTCACCCATTACTCATTATATGTGTGCACACATATTCATCTCAACATTTTTTTTATTTTGTTTTCATATCTAGCGGCCTAGCATTCTGATCCATGCAGCTGCTATGATGTGCCTGATTATTTCAATTAACATCTCGATTGGGGATTTGATTTTTGTTGTAGAACCGGTACTTTGCGGCATTTTGGATATTGCGGAAAAGTGCCCATGGAAATCAGGAAGGTCTGATCTAGAAGATAGCTGTTTGCTCAAATGGGCATCCTCGATGTGGACATCTTGGTCACTTTTTACATTCTTATGCATTATTTGCAAAATAACATGGTTTGAAATTGCGGGAACTTGCATTGGTGATAGATGTGATAGTAATGAAAAGTTCCATTTTCGTGCTCCAATTGATGAACTCAAAACATCTAAATATCCAGCTGCTTTGTGGTCAATCAATGTGACTTTAATAACGTTTCAGCCGTACAAGGATATAGAAAATTGAGCATCACAGGGCACTATTTGAGTTGATTCCGGTGAACTTTGATGGAATGATATTGTGGGGTGTTACATATAGGGGCTGCACTACAGCAGTATACGCTGAATCAATTAATTGCTATCTATTCTTCATGAATTCAACATCAACTTTATTTTTTCATTTTTTAAGTTCAGACAACAACGCATACTGTTCATACAACTTGTCACACGGCAATAAATTTACCCCAGTTGATATATCTCATTGTTTAGGATCACTAAATTTATTCGAACAACAAAGGAATGAAGGTGGGAGAGATCTTCCAATTTTGCCCAACATTTCATTTAGTGACTAGCATTTGCTCAATATTAAAAGATATATTGAATGGGAAGGTCCAAACTTGGAAGGAACATTTCTTTGAAACAAAAAATTGTAGTAAAAACACTCAAAAGTAATTTTCTGGCTAGAAAATGTAGAAATTGATATATATATATATATATATGTATTTTTTTGGGTAACGAAGATTATTTCTTAAAGGCTAATGTGAGCAAATTGCTTTGCTTATACATAAAATGAACCTCGATGTGGCTAATGTCAGTTCATTTCCATCTCCAAAATCAGTAGTTCAAGCAATTGAGCGCAGGTGTCAAAGGTTTTTTTGGTGTGGCTCAAGTGAAGAAAAAAGAAGGCATTGGGGCTCATGAAGTAGAATTACTTTTCCGGTTGCTGAGAATGGTTTGGGTATACGGAATTTCCAGGGGGTCATTGATGCTTTGTCAATCAAGCTTTGGTGGAAGTTGAAGTAAAAAAGAGGTATTTGGAGTAAGTTCATCCACTCCTTATCCAAGTCGGCTAAGGGAAAAACATCTTGGCAGCACATCTCTAAATTAGAACGGCGCGTGGTTGGTCACACCAATACCATCATTCGCCGAGGTGACAAATCCTTTTGGTGGGATAATTGGTCTCCTTTTGGTGTACTTTGGGATATTGAAGGTGAGGAGCCTCCATTCCCGGATTTATATATTCGGGACTTGATGAAAATTATATAGCCTTTCATGGTGATTCTCCTAGTAAGGGGAATGAGCTAGTCCTTCATTCTAGTTTCGGGATGTTAAGTTTACTTTGCAGGCCAATCAAAGAAGAAAGAATGGATCTTGACTAGCTATGTGATAGGGAGTTGGTTCAACGGAACTATGATCAAGATGACGAGAATGTCATTAATTTTAAGGTTCAAACCAAAGGAGATGATTCACTGATGGAAATAAGGGCTTAAGAGTATCAAGGGAGTTTGACTCTAGGTGCTCCATGAAGATCATTGATTAAGCTAGAGAGAAGAATCATTTAGGTTCTTAAATGGACGACCTATTTGATCAAAATGTTCAAGATTGAGTCCATTACTACACAATAGGATAGGGTGCAAACTATCTCAATTGTTTCAAGTGTTTTTTCCATTCTTTTGGAGTCAATAAAGAGAGTTCTACAAGTTTTGGATTAAATTGGAGTTATCTACAACTTGAGGGGCGCAAGACCAATATTTCACCTTTTGGTAGGGCGCTCAAGACATTATACTTCAACAATTGTTGCTGAATTTCGAGATTAGAGTTTTCTAAGTCTAGGACTTTAATTTTTTGAGTTTATCTAGTTAAGATAAGCCATGTGGGCTGAATTAATGTAGAGTGTTTTGTTTAGAAGCCTTAGATTCCTTCTAAGTATTATCCTATTTGATGATAAGTCATTAGATAAGGTTTCCTAGATTTTAGATAGAGTCAAAGAGATCAAATACTCTTCTAACTCGACTCCTACGAGAGATAAGATTAGAGTCCTAGTTGGTCTTCTTTTGTGCTTTGTGACCGAGGTTGCTACTCTATAAATAGGGGGCAAGGCCAAAGGTTCAAGGTACCCGTACGTGGTCATTTGAGTTTTCTCTAATGAGAGTTTTTCCTTTGATGAATTTTTGTTAAATGGTGTGTCCATTTTTCATTTCTCAAGTATGATTTAACCAATAGGGTTTTTCATCTTGTCTTGGATCTTTTGATCTTCCAGAAACTGTTTTATTCAAGTGTGCTTCTTGATAGAATTGTTTTAAAACTAAACTTCTTATTTTCATACTACTTCTCGTAGTTCGAGAGTTGGACCTTTCTTTTGGCTAGGGTTTTTGAGTTCATGATGTGTGTGTTCATGAGTTCCTTTGCGGGGTTTGCCCTATTTTTTGTTGGATGAGTATTGCTTTGGCATAAGAATTTTGATATAGTGTTTGTGTTGCATATCTTTATTGGTTATGGAGAGTACTAATCAATAGTATTTCTTTATAGTTGAGCATTATTAATCTCACATTTCTTGAGTCTCTTGATTAATGACTGATCGAGTATATTGAATGGTGTCCTTACTATTCTTAGTGTGGGTCGTTATTTAATTCGAATCTTTCATAGATTATGTATTTTTTGCATGCTTTGAGTTAAAGAGATAGAAATCCTTAGATAAACGATCGTCTTATTGTGAATTTTCCGCACTTTTTTGAGTTTCACGGGATAGACAAATTATCTTTGTACTTTCTTGAAGGTTGCATTAACGAAATTTACTTCATCTACGAGATTATATCAGTTTTTGGTATCAGAGTTTGAACTATCTAGGTGATGGTATTAATTGATATTATCATATCAGTTTTTAGTATCAGTTTGAGTTTCGAGAGATTTCTTTTTGATTAAGGACTTCATAGTTCTTGGTTTTGAAAATGTCTTGAGTTACCACGGAATCCATTTCTTGGTGTGGTAATCGAGCTTTGTGCTACTAACGAGTAGTACTCTCTTTATTTGTTTCAAGGTTCCTTCTTGTTGCAGAATGAGTTTTGAAAGAATAAATCAAATTCTTGTGAAAACTGCGTTTTCAAAATTGATCTTGTCTTTTGTGTGGTTGTGCGAGACTTCTTACACATTTGTTTGATCTTGTGGTGTTATTTTGAGGTCTATGCGAGAGTTTGATGATGGTACATTGGTATCTAGTCAAAATGGGCGCTACATCTTGAAATTTATCATTGATTTGCAAGTAGAGAACTGTTTCTCTTATGAGCAAGTTAGTGGATCTTATGTGTTGAATCTTTAAGGAGAGAATTGATGCCAAAGAAGAGCTTTTGCTCGAGATAGCCATTTCTTTCTAAAGAGATGTCTTTACATGAGAAGGGTTTAAGAGTTTATCTTGTGGTAAATATCTTGGATCTATTCTTTGAAAGGTGAAACTTAGTGATTTTGTACTTTCTATAATAGTATAAATGAAAAAGCCTTTCTTCTTGTTGGTTCTCATTTGAATCTAATGACTAAAATGGAATTTATGGATTTTTAATCAATGAGAATTTCATAGAGTTTCGATCCTATTTGGTTATTTTGTTTTGTTTAAATCTTAGTGTCAAAAGATTTTCAAAAGTAACAAATGTCGGTTTTTGGTTTTTCTCGAGTTTATACTTTGAGAATGAGTCGAATTAGTGGATCTTCCTATCATTGGACTTTCCATGATTCTTAACTTGAGTTTCAAACTTTCTTTATCAGTTGGTGAAGAATGAATTTTAGTGATATCAGTTTTGGTATCAAAGTGTTCTAAGGTCTTTAAAAGTTGAGTTGTGCCAACTTTAAAGGTTGAAGTCTATTGACTTGTGTTAAAACGTTAGTTTTCAAGAGTTGAAATCGAGAATTGAGTGAAGTTTTACTAAAGATTTTCTTATATATAACAAGAAATCTTATAAGGCTTTGAGATATGTTCTTGAAGTTTACATATTTGGTCTTTGGAAAATTTGATTTTCAAATGATCACTTATGAAGATGACCTTGTTGAGTCATTGAGTCGTATGAATGGTTTGTGTTAAATTGAGTATTATGAAGCAAACGTCATAGTTGAATAAGAAACTTCAAATTCAAACTTCATTATACTTATGGTGTTCTTGTTACTTTATTTACCATTGATGGGCTTCTCTGGGCACACGATAATCCCAAGTGGATTCGTTAGGCTTCCAATCATGGTAGGGACGTATCCTTAAACGGTAAATCTAACAATAGATTTCACCATAATCGATGCTCCCTTGCCATTTAATGTGATTCTAGGATGGCCGTGGATGTGCCAAGCCCGCACTGTCTGGTCACCATACCATTTGGTTATGAAATTTCCAACAGCGTATGGGATAGGAATAGTGCAAGGGTGCCAACGTAGTTCTCGAGAATGCCTCCTCACAGCAGTAAGAATCGGGAAGAAAACAGTAAAGCCGGAGCTGGCTGCCACCACATCGGAATGCTATTCGATCCAGCAAGGAGTATCATCGGCTGAGTATAAAGAGGGAAACCAAGAAACCCAAATCATGGATCTCGATCAGAAGAGTTAATCCTATTTGAGACAGCCAGAAAAAACTATCAAGCTTGGTATATCTATCGAAGGAACGTTGCGGGCTGCGGTGATTGCCTTACTACACGACTTCTGAGACATTTTTGCGTGGTCACCATATGATATGACTGGAGTTCCTCAACATATCATCGAGCATAAGCTAAATGTAGATCCCGACGTCAAGCCAATTAAATAGATGAAGAGGGTTTTTGCTCACGATTGCAGCAATGTAATTAATGAGGAAACCCTCAAACTGGTTCGGGCTAATATCCTCAAAGAAGTGCTTTGGCCAACGTGGCTAGCTAACCCAGTTCTTGTCCGCAAACCCGACAATTCCTGACGCATGTTTCAAGACTACACGGATCTAAACAAATATTGCCCTAAGGGTTGCTACTCTTTGCCTGTCATCGATCAAATGGTGTAAGGCATTACCGGTTACAAGACCCTTAGCTTTCTCGACGCTTACAAAGGATACCATCAGATTCATATGGCTCGGGAAGACGCAGAAAAAACGGTTTACATCACGGAG